AAAGTAATGTCAATCCTGAGAAAAACTGAAGGTCACCTAAATAAGCAGCAGCCTGTGCACGTTCACAGATCAGTTGTCATAGTAGTTAGAGGACAAGTCTCCTCAGTATGATTTACAGGGTAAGTATAATCCCATCAAAATAGGTAAACTTCTTGAAAGTAGAGGTTGACGGTGTGTCCTTACACTTCATTTGTGTACTAATAAAGACAGTTTCACTTCAGTCAACAGTTTCCCAGTGTGTTGTGTAATCTTGACTATCAACTTGATAGAATGCAGAGTTATCTAGACACATCTCTGTCATATATATCTTCATTTTTTTCTGAGAGGTTTTTCTAAGGGGAAGATCCATCCTGAATGTGGGAAGCACCGTCTCATTGGTCTTGGACTGAATAAATAGAAGAAAGCAAATACCATCATTCATCCCTTGACTTTATGGATACAATGTGACCAGTGACCTCCTGTTTTTGTACCAACTCTCTCAGCCACTCAAACCCTGACTCCAAATAAACTCATCCTTTCCTTGTCTTTGTCGGGAATTTTGTCACAGCCAGGAGAAAAGTAACTGTCACAATGAATCTTTCAAAAAATTAAAACCATGTTTGACATCTGGCTCAGCAGTCCTGATTCTACTCCTGGTTGTTTACTCTGCAGAAATAGAAGTACCAGTTCTCAAGGACATACTGTGAGGGTCCACTGCAGCTTTTTTTTTTTTTAATAATAGCTCAAATTGGGAATGATATAAGCATTCAATGGCTGGTGAAAAGATACAAAGTGGTAATTTATTCAGTGTAAAAAACCATTGGTATATGTGCAAACAGGGATGGGATAGTAAATGTTCTGCTGAGTGAATGAAGTCAGACACACATTACTGTAGGATACCATTTACACGAATTTCTTAGAAAAGACAAGCTCATAAGTGAAAAATAGGGCAGATTTGAAAGTTGGGGCTGAAGAGGAAGCAGTATTTTTAGATTTATTTTTATTATTTTTAAGTGTGTGCGTGGAGGTGTGTGTGTGCGTGTGTCTGTGTCTGTGTGTCAGAACCTTTGGAGCCAGAAACATTTGGTTCCCCTGGAGCTGGAGTTATAAGCAGGTGTAATTTGGAATTTGAACTCCAGTTCTCTGCAAGATCAGTTTGTGCCCCGAACTGCTGAGCCATCTCTCCTTCCTGCTCAGAAGCAGGTTTTGGACTATAGATGTGTAGGAAGAAACTTCCTCAGATGATGAAAAGTTTTCTAACCTGGTTGTGTTAATAGTTAATCGTATGGATAAATGTTAAAATATGGACATTAGTTTAGTAAAGCTATGTAAGTTTTACTAATAAGTTATTTGTCAATAATATTAATAAACATTAGTAAATTTTACAAAGTCAATAAACTTTAATTATCTACCAATGTCAGGTTTTGTTTGAGATAAATATGAGGAAGAATGGAGATGAAGTGGTGGTGGTGGCAAGATTATGTACAGCCCTGATGTAAAGAATTGTCTTCCCCCCTCTTGTTGAACCCATTCCCCAAAGCAACTCTCTTCCTCAAGATTGTGTATAAAATACACATAGTTTATGAAATAGTTCTGGATTCTTGTAGGCATGATGATTGGGTGATTTAACTAGGGAAAGAGTAGACTGGAACGTTCAGATAAAGTTGGGGGAATGCAAAACAATCCAGTGGGACTTCGAGACAAAAATAAATTTTCCTATCTGTTTATAAGTGAAGGAACTCAGGGTCAGACGAGGAATATGTTCAAAGTCACCCAACCTTTGCTGTGGAGGGTTGTATTTAAAAATAAAAGAAAGAAAAATGAGGATGTCATATAAAATTTTAAAAATAAACAAAAGCCATGATATTATTTTTTCCTGGGCCTCGTACAGATGAGAGCCCTCTGTGACTTTCTTCTTTTAGACCTGCCTTGATGTTTTCAGTGTTAGATTGGCCAAGATGACAGAGCTGGAGAATGGAGCAGCTGCTGCTAAACTCATCAGCACATTTCAAAGTTGAAAAGCAAGGGATGTTTCTCGGCCTCAAGACAGCACAGTTCCAGGGCACATGGATTGGTTTGGTTTATTATTTTGGCCATAGAAATATCAATCATTTTAGGTACCAACATGGACAAATTTAAATATTTACAAGTTATAATAAAATAAAAATCTTTTCCATTCTTAGGATACCATCTCTGCTATCATGCTAAGTTGAGTCCTTAGCCCCAGAAGCCGATGATTTAGGCCTAGAGACCAAACCCAAACCTTTGGTGTACCCGGAGAAGCCATGTTGGTGTTTTATGTGCTGTGATCTTACTATACTCTGGAATAAGATGTTGTGGCCCTGACCACTCAGAATGAACAAGACTGAGGCAAGCTTTTATCAAAGGCAGGATAATGTCTGTGGCTCAACAACGTGAGTGGCATGCTGGACATGGTTATAGTCTTCTGCTTTTAGAATTTTAATTAGGTTTTCATAAGTACGTATAAAAACCCAAATAGTGCAGGGTAGGCATCAACACAGGGCAGAAGCCACATCCTGATGGCCTGTCTCCCAGGTCCACCCTGCAGATGTGCTACATTGTGTTTAGTTTTAAAAGTGGTTAAAGACTGTGTTTCTCTCTCTGTGTGTGTGTACATTTTGTGATCTAGAAAACTCACAAAAACATTTAAATTCCCTGCTTTTTTTTTTTTTAAGTCTGCACCTTTGGCAGACCTTGTATAACTCTGTTATACAGTTGCCAACAGGCCAATGTGCTCACTTTGTCTTGTCTATAGGGGGCCTTATTCCTTAATGATTCCTGGTTGTCACCAGATGCTTGAGACACTGTAACCTTGCAGATAACATTGACTTTTCCAGTGAGGACAGCATAAACATCATTAATTGCTTTGGGTTGCTGACAATACACTTACTCCATTTTTCTTTCAGACTCAAGGCCACTTTGGAAAGTGTCTGTTGAACGCTTTTAGAAAATTTGACATGTATTTGGCCAGATTCAATGGAGCAAAACTTTGGCCTTCAATCTGGTTTTTGGAAACATTCAAATTAAAAAAATCAGAACCGACTGGGCGGTGGTGGCTCACACCTTTAATCCCAGCACTTGGGAGGCAGAGACAGGTGGATTTCTGAGTTTGAGGCCAGCCTGGTCTACAGAGTGAGTTCCAGGACAGCCAGAACTACACAGGGAAACCCTGTCTCGAAAAACCAAAACAAAAAACAAAAACAAAATCAGAACCAAGTTTGGAGTAAAAAACTATGTTTGAGTATGAAATGGTGAACCTGTTTCTCGTGGGTGGCTGCTAAGCTGACTCATTGGTGATGATAATAAAAAATAACTAAGATTGCTTTTGGGAGGTGGCCTTTTCTCCCACTGTCAATCATCAGTCCTACTAACCTCATATTCCGTGTGTGGCTTGAGTTCCTATACACATTGATCCAACTCTAGCCCCTTGCTTGAATGATTATATATATATATATATATATATATATATATATATATATATACATATATATATTCATGTTTTTATACATATGGCATTCAAAATGTAAGATTCATTATTGAATGTCTGAATAAAGTCAGTATAAATTCTAAGTGTCCACATTATTTTATTTTTACTTCTCTTTCTCTCTTCCTTTCTCTCTCTCTCTCTCTCTCTCTCTCTCTCTCTCTCTCTTTCTCTCTCGCTCTCTCGCTCTCTCGCTCTCTGTGTGCCTGTGTGTCTGTGTTTGTGCTTGTATCTACACATATGCATGAAAGTGGAACTCAAACTACTGTTGGTTGTCACTCTTCTGAAGCACAGCTCACTTCTTTCTGAGACCCTTTCTCACGAGCCCTGAACTCAGCATATAGGCCAGGTTGGCTGGCTGCCTATCCCTGGGATCCAGTTATCTTTGCCTCCCAGCTTTGGGGTTTCAAGCTCAGGATACAGGGATTTTGGAGTCTGGGATTTGCACTCAGCTCCTTGTGTTTGCTAATGTAGAACTTTACCTACTGATTGCTCTCCCCAGTCCCTGCTGACAGTTTTAAAGGCGACAAACCCAATTTACACCCGTCAAACATCTGTTTTTCACACGTGAATGTGATGTATGAAAACAAAGCAAATAAAAGATGACTTGCGAGTGTGTGATTTTCCTTAGTCACTGTGTTCTGTTCGGTCACATCGCATCTGCTCTTGGGTTCTGGGAGGTGCGGTTTGTGGTTTTGCTAGTGGGAAGGGGCGCATAGAAGCTGAAGAATCAAAGGTGAAACGAAACTCATCAAGAATTGTTGCCTACTGCTCACGTTCTGCTTTAGAAATAAGCACATCAAATAGAGTTCTTGATACTGCTCAACGATTAAAGTGCTGACCTCGGAGGAGCAAGACACAGACACCCGGAAGCCTCCGGAAGTCTAAAATAGCTATTAAGTAAATATATTAGGATAGCAACCTCAGACGCCACATATCCCGTATGTGTGTTTGTGCAAACCCATCAGTGTTGTGTAAACCCTGTGTCCCATGTTTAGCAGCTCCAGGCAGAGAATTTTTGTTTGCACTCGTGGGAGAAAAAGAAAGTCACCTCTCCATGCACTCATTTGCATTTCCCTGGTGAAACTCGCGCAGGTCTGCTCCCGGCCACCGGTCTCCTGCCTTTGATACCTCGGGGGCCGCTGTATCCTCTCTAGACTCTATTTTGGGGCTCCATGATCTCATGCTCTCTGCAGACCACACAGCGCTTCCAGTCCAGCCCTCGCTGGGCCACGCGGGGCGATTCCAGCAAGAGTTCGTAGGGTGCTACGATCGCGGGCGGGGACAGGGTTTGGGGTGGAAGTTAAAGACACGCCCACGTCAGGGACTCAAAATAGCCCACGCGCCCAGGGCCCGAAATCAGACAGGAAGCCAAATACTCCCGGGCGTTGAGCGGCTCGGGCCAGAGCGCCGGCCGAGGGCTGGAAGCCAAGGGTCCGGCGGGGGCGGCGCGGCGCGGGGCGGGGCGGGGCTGCGAACCTATTAAACCTCAGCCCGCCGGGGGCAGAGTGGGGCGATGGAGCGCGACGGCGACCAGGCAGGGCACGGGCCCCGGCACGGGCCAGGGGGAAACGGACGCGAGCCCGAGTCTCCAGCCGCGGCTTCGCTGCTGGTGCCCATGGACCTAGGGGAGGAGCCGCTGGAGAAGGCGGAGCGCGCCCGCACCGCCAAAGACCCCAACACCTACAAAGTGCTGTCGCTGGTAGGTCGGTGCTCGCCGCGACCCGACACCCGGGAGGGAGCGAGGGCGAGCTGAGAGCACGGTCAGCACCCGGCACTGGAGAGGTCGGCTCCTGCGCCAGCACGGGGTGACCTGAAGGGTCCTTACCCTCGCCCAGCAGGCTGCTAAAATAGTCACCTTGAAATACTGTCCTCTCCCCCCAGAGAATACAGGATATTTAGAGGCAGAAACAAATGATCAGCTAGTCTTGGGATAGCTCAGGAATGTTTGTAGCCTTTTAGGTGGCCTGGTTCAGGGAGCAGGTGGTGCTCCTGGCTTTAGATGAATTCATTCCAGTTGAAAAATTTATCACAGCTTTTTAAAGTATCGGGAACTTTAGAAAACACCCATGTTTGGCTCTGTCGTGGTATTTCCTGGCAGTTGTTTAGAAGCCCCATCGATATTCATGTTTCTGTGACTGGAAAGAGGCCTGGGATTCAGTGCCCACTCTTTGAACCACAGACAGTGCTGTTTGTGTTGCGGGCACAGCTGCCTGCTATATTCTTCTGCTATTTTGTTAGGACAGTCGCAGGATCCACAGCCAACTTTTGGAAATAGGATTTTCACTCCGGATCTTCCTTGGGTCAGAAAAGCTGAGTCCTATAGTCGTTCTAAGTTTTAGTGGGGACTTCCATTATTCTTCCCAAGCTCAATTTTGTTGTGTTAAAATGGGAGCGCATAGCATAGTTTCAATGGTACTGATGCAGGAAATAAATTCAGAGCCGATGGAAGATGTATTATTGAATAGTATGTGCAAGCCACAGCTTTCTGTGGATAGCCCACCCTCAAACATATGGCTACACTTTGTGGCTTGAGCACTGTTTTGTTGAAAAAAATCTCCTTTCCGATGTTTGAAGTCTCCTGTTTGACATCATTTCCATTTTCACTGTTCCTAAGGTTCTATGCAGATACCGTTGCACTTTGAGAACCAGAATTCCTAGACTTAAGAGATGGTGTCATATCCTTAGTTTTTTTTTTTAAAAAAAAATAAGTCCGAGGGTCAAAGGAGAAGTCTCTCAAACCACAGGCTGCTGTATCCCAGGGTATAATTTTGTATCATATGTCACTCATATGATATTGATGGACATTTATTTAGTTTGAGTCTAGTCTTTTTGTTGTATTTTGTAATAGAAGATTGTAGGTGTTCCAGGACTACTTAAATTACTGAGTATCAGTACCTTTAGCTACTATGAGATCCTCAATAAAGACACACTGAATATTTATGAAATTATAACATAAGACATGTTTATATTCAGTTTTACTCATTTGCTTATAGGCTTACAATAGATGTCAGCACAGGTCCACCTTTAGAACACAGAGTTTTCACTCTTTGACTGTGATGAACTACGTGGGCATTTAAGTTGCCAAGGGAAAAGGCTGAGCAGGTCATGGTACTGAGATCAGGGTACCAGAGGTTCTGTTACGTTTGGGCCTCTGCTGAGAACACTGGACGTTGGAGTGGGGAATGAGAATGGATAAGCAAATACACATCTACATACATACATACATACACACACACACACACACACACACACACACACACACACACACATGCTTTATCCATTCTCATCCCCCACTCCAGCTGTTCAGTGTTCTCAGCAGAGGACCAAAGCATTGGAACTGTAGTTTACAGTTGTTATGAGCCACCATATGAGTGCTAGAAACTGAACCTAGGTCCTCTGCAAAAGCCGCAACGTACTTACCTGCTGTGCCGTCTCTCCAGCCTCAGCTTCATATCTTATGATACACGACTGAGAGACATAAAGTATAAGTCGCTTGATTTCTCACTGGAGGTCTTAGTTCAGGACTGAGCTGGAAGTGAAACCTATTTTTTCTCTTTTCCTCCTCTACTTTAATAACCCTCTATCAGAGGCCCTCAAAGCAATTTGATAACTGTCATCAAAGAGCCCTGGGATATGTTTTCTAGAGACAGCCATAATTATTGGATTTATCTTGTTTCTTTTTTTTTTCAGATTAAGCATCAGCACATTTTGTATGAAGCTAAAGAATCAGGTTAAACTAATTGCATCCTGGGTTAGGATCAGGGAGGCCCCCACTCCCTGGCCACAGGATTCTAATGGAACAGGATAATCACAGGGATGCCTTGCAGAGGGAGGATGAAGCAGTGGTGATACGATTGTGGATCTTTCTCAGATTTTCTCTCATTAGTGAAAAGAATGTGGTTACGTCAGAGTAAACGAAGAAAGAGGGATCTTGTCCTAGCCTTTCTTGCCCGGGTGATGCTTCATCTCAGGACTTTGGGCAATGGTAAGGATTCTGCCTAGGTACCCAGCAGGACTAAAGAAACAGCAAGAGAGAAAAACAAGCACTGGTTTCAATGCCCTCTGTGACATGTGTTAGCTTTCCCTGGCTGTGATGAACTATGTGGGCAATTAAGTTGACAAGGGAAAAGGCTGAGCAGGTCATGGTACTGAGATCAGGGTACCAGAGGTTCCCTTATGTTTGGGCCTCCGCTGAGAACACTGGGTGTTGGAGTAGGGAATGAGAATGGATAAGCAAACATAGATGGAGCCCAGAATCCCACAGTCCCCTTGGAATGAACACCATCCATGACCCACGGATCTTCCACGAGGTAGATTCTCATATCTGCTACCTCCTAATAGCACTACCCTGTGGACTAAGAGTTTTAGCTCATGAAGCTTTGGGTAGATATTTGCAATCCAAAGTATAGCAGTGTTAGGTATGAAGTGCCTTTGCTTGGTTCCAGATCAAGCTTGAACTGAAATATTCACTCCTAAAGTTGGGCTCAGGTATTTATCTAAAATGTCGTTGATTCCTATTCTAGTTTTAAAAGGACGAGTGGCTTTCAAGTAGTTTGCAGTATGTGCTGTAGTTAGGCCCTCTAAAGCATTACTTTTATGAGTTTGTGATTTTTCCCCCTATAATTGTGAAGATAGAGATTTGCTATATGACACAGGCTTTGCTGTTGGTAGTGGTAACTGAAGACTGCTTTGGCCTTTCCATAAAAGAGTTCTTTCTAAGAAATGGAAGTTGACCTTGGTCTAGCTAGACTAGGGTATGACAGGTTAATTCTCTAGCTTCCTATTATCCTATCATTACACTACAGTGTTCACAATAACTCTCTCAGTCAGGTTTGGATTGACATTGTCCATTGACTTTCAAACTTAATATCAGCTTTAGCATTTTATTTCAAAATGACCAGGCTATCTATAAAGCTAGAACAGCCTGAAATTTGTCTCTAAAGGTATTTGTTTCATATACTCTAATATGTACGGAGGATTGAGGAGCCCAGGTACATCGTGTTCCCATTGGGTCTCTGACAGTACCTGACTCCCATCAGCAGTTTGGTTGGTTGAATGAATATACCACACGCTTTATTTCCAGTTAGAATCATAGGAAGACAGAACCCTAAGCTATAAAGTCAGAATGGGAGGAATCCAAATATGGACGGCACTTGGCTATAAACTCGGGGTAAGATAAAAAACGGGGATACTATTTTATTTGGATGATGGTGATGGAAGAGGTAATGAATGAACAGGGTGACTGAGAGCCAGCATGCCTAAGCAGAGCCTGGCTTAATTTAGGTTCAGGATCAGAAATGTTTCCCTGAGCCTTCTTCCCCGTTGGCACATGCAACTCGGGTGTGCCTAGACCAGGATATATAAAAAAGCCAAAACAAACCTCCCTCATCTATGCCAGGACTTCTTGTGCTTTGGTAATTCTGTTGTCTTACTTGTCTTTCCCTGAATTCAGCCATGGAGTCTCCTGCAGATGTTCTCCTGGGTCTTGTCTCCTGTTCCTTCTCCTCTGCCTTGAGGTCTGTCTGTTTGGTTCCTCCTGACAGGCTCTATAGCCCAGCATTTGTACCCTACCTAGTCTCTTTCTCAGGAACACAGCCATCTTCTCAGAACCTTTTTTATTCCTCTTCTATTTCACTTTGCTCTTCCCTGTCACTGAAACATCTTAATCATGACTCTGGACAGTTGCCATAATGGCCATGTTGAGCATGTTAAAACACCATGGATGAGAGAGAGCTGAGGCCACTCACCGTTCTAGGATATGGACAGAAATTTCAGTTGCCAACCCCTTTTCTTCCAACTATTTTTTCTTTTCCAGATACCAATATTTAAAATGAAAATAGTTTTATTTTATAGGCAGCATTATTTTTTTGAGTTTGATAAGTACCATCAAAATCTCTTTGTCTCTGTCTGTGTCTCTGTCTTTCGTGTTTAAAGATTAGCAGATATATTTCATCTGAGTTACAGGCTTTGGGGACAAGCCACAGAACCTAATCATGATTCATAACTTAGAGCAGCATTTCAATTTTCAAGCAACTTATCAATGAACAAGCTTTTGGAAGATAACATAAATAGAGAACTGTCTTTCAATAAAATAAACTTGATTCCATCAACCATGAAATATGTCCTGCTCAAGGTGGTCAATAAGAAACTTTGGGCTTTTGGGGTCAAGAAAGAACAGATTATTTATGTAAGCATAAATCTGTACTGGAAGAATAGATAATCAAAATGTTGATTCAACATGACAAATACCTCACTGTCTAAATGAAAGTTACGCATTTACTAAGGAGAGAAAGAATTGAAGAAGGTTTTTCAAAACAGTGAGAAGAATGTTGTGTTAAATATTAACTGGATCATGTGACCACAGTATTTTAGTTAGGGAAGGCTTCAGGACAACAGTTGAATAGTCTGGAATGGTTGTTGTTTTCTCCTCTTGTTTTTCAGAAGAATTGGTGGAAATGTATGTGGTAAAGTCTTGAAGGTTATAAATGTTCATGTCTGTGTAAGTTTCAAAAGCATTTTCCCATATATGTTTTTATTGACCTATGGTACATGAATTCTGCATTAGGAAAACAGTTCTATCTTTCAGTTAAGGAAGTAGGCACAGAGGGATTCTTTCAGGATTCTAGAATGGTTGCATGCCTGGAAACCCTCTGGGGTTGCCTTAAAGGCAGAGATTCCAGAGGACTCAAGTTCTGATTT